CCTGAGCAAAACACAGCAGAAGGAGGGGGGCTGCTCTGAGGCCGGGCACGGCCCCCCCCCTTCAGAGCCTACCACATATCCTAAGTGGCCAGTCGGCGAGCGACTGCGCACCCGGGAAGAAAAGCGCGCGTGGCAACCCGGGAGGCTGAAGACCCCCGCCGGTGGGCGTGGCGCAGCGGCACGTGGGCAGGCGAGGGCAGCGGCGGGGAGCTCTGTTGTTGCAATTGCTCCGACCGGACGAGGCGGCGGATGCCGCTCGGGTCAGCAGGGGACAGACCGCCGAACCGCGCGCGGGCGCGCCCGAAAGGTAAAGGCCGGGCTGCTGGCTTGATGTGCTGCGCGCGCCCGCCCGGGTCCCCCTGCATGGCATGTTGTGCACGGCTAAGAAAGGCGCGGGGTGGGAGCCGGGAGCCGGCGGGAGGAGGATGCTGCCAGGTGCATTTCTTGGCTGGCGTTGCAGCTGCTGCTCAGCAGAGATGCCGGTTAAGTAAGGAGGGACTTTTGCTTGCGGATCCAGGCAGGGCGCCCGGGCAAGTGTAGGCTGGGTTGGCTGGAGTTCCTTTTCCTCCAGACGGTGGCTTTGTCCACGCTCGCTTCGTTGTCTGAGGACCCTTCGGGAAGCCGAGCTCGGGGTCTCTTCTGCAGTCCACTTGGAGAGGCGGGGGCGACAAGGCGGCCGCAGCCTTGTAACTTAACGTGATTCCACGAAAGAGTTTGGTTCACTTTGGCCAGAGGGCGTGAATTGCACTTGCGAGCATTGCATCTGTGAGGAGCGATGGAACAAGCGTGCAAAGCTGCTGCTGCAGTCCTGTCGGGGCGAAAGGTGCGCTCCTCCCGGAGTGTGGAGCTTTACGTTCCCCGCCCATTGTGATAACTGAACGGGAGGCACAACAGAATTAAGTTTGCAAGGGCCTCGGTGGAAGAGCCCTTGCAGGCACTGCCTTCCCAACTCCAGTTGCTTTGCACAGCGAGAGTATTTGTCCTTTTTTGGGGGGGTTTTGCGTTAGGAAAAGCTGCTGCAGGATTGAGTCACTGGCAAGGGCAGCCACGTGCAAGGACTTTCGAAGGCTCCCGGGTCCCACTTCGCCCTCAGCAGCGCGTGATGCACAAGAGGGTGGGAAAACTAGGGCTGCATTTATTAAACTGTTGTAACCCGCCCTGAGCCCGGGATAGAAATAAATAAGGACGAGCTCCCGAAGGGGCGCGCGTCGGGCTTGTGCGCAGGTGGTTTCTCCGGGACAGGATTCTGTTATTCACTAGGATTGCTTTTGCATCGGGGAGTCTTTGTGCACGCCCAGAGTCTACAATTTTTGCAAAGGGGTGGTTAATGGGCAGTGAAGCAGCCGGGACCCATCAGCGTGTTGAAAGAGTTCACCCGAGGGAACGGGGTCACGGGCTTCGAAGAACGGTGGCGATTGGCATTTTTAGCTTTCCTCAGAAAAACCGGGGCGGGGGGGGAGGGAGGTGATGAGCTCACTCCTTTGGCAGTTGATGGGAAAGTTGCCATGTCTGCTGGAGGGCGAGAGGAGCAGAAGAGGTAACAAAAAGGGGTTTTTTTGTGTGTGTGTTTTTTCGTGAGCAAGGGGGGGGGGGGGGGGGGGAGGTGATGAGCTCACTCCTTTGGCAGTTTATGGGAAAGTTGCCGTGTCTGCTGGAGGGCGAGAGGAGCAGAAAAGGTAACAAAAAAGGGGTTTTTTGGTGTTTTTTTTAAAAAGAAGCTATTTGGAGATAAGCGGTTGTCAGGTCTTTTGGGACTCACAAGTCAAGCTGTATGTCGGCGTGGCAATCGGATGGATTGTTTTACGATCCTTCTCGGGGTTGGGGTGGAAGTGCTAAAAGGAGATTGGAAGACTTTAGGTGGGTTGGGATGACTCGGAGCGGCACACGGGGTTGGCTGCTCTGGTGCCTGCGCTCCTTGTCGAACATCAGGAGTGGAAACGCGGCCACGCAGTTAAAAGAAAGGCGTAGGCAGGAAGTTTTAAATGAAGCTTTAAACAGGATTAAAAGGTCTTGCCTGGGCCACGTGGAGCCAGAGGCAGCCAGGGGCAGGGCAGGGAGGAAGCCTACTTACCGTGCTGCTTCTTCCTTGTCCTGCCATGAAATGAGGGCAGGAAGGAGAGGGCGACTGGGAGCAGGGGCGGGGCATTATGTGCCCGCCCCCTGCTCGTATCACTCCGGGAGCTCAGTACCGGCGAGCTCCGGCTCCATCCGATCCCTGCTTAGGAGGTGGTGACAGCAGCAAGAAAGACTGCTTGTTTTATTTACTTCATTCGTACCCCACATTTCTCCCCAATGGGAATCCAAAGCAGCTTACATCACAAGAATGCCCACACTTGACCAGCATCGGCACAACAACAGCTTTTCCCTCCAGTCCACTTGTGAAGCATTCCCAGCCATAAGGGCTAGCATAAGTTTGCAGTCTCTCCTAGCAACAAAGGACTGGAAGGAAAACTTGCTGAGTGGAGGGCTTCGCTGCTCTTGACCAATATGTATCATGGCAGTATCCTTATCATGGATCCTTAAGATAAATCATATATAAGAAAAGGATTTTCCAACTAAGGGTCTGAGAAGAACTGATCACATCCCCATTTCCTTCTAGTTCAGCACATTGAGCCTGCAGAAGGAGATCAAGGCAGGTTATTTGATCTACGTATTGTGTATATGTGATGTTCTTCCTTTAAAGCCATTTTTTCCTCTTATACAGATGTCTCCCACTAGTTACAGAAAAATCCAAATGATTTCTGAGATGAACTAGTTGTCCCCTGGCCTTAGTGATTTCTTGGGAGGCTTGGGAGGCTTTTTTCTGTCAGCCTATATGAGGCAAACTTACTCAAGCATGAAAGGCATATAGCACTGGGAACAATAGGTTTTCATACCACAAATAGCCAACAACAGGAACAGTACCCCACAAAAATATGAAAACTCTGGAATGATCAATGCAATTACTGATAATAATAGCTACTATAAGCCATAAAACCATGGACTAATAATCCAGCTTGGGTTCAGATAACCGGCTCTTGATGGGGCGCCATTGGCACCAGCGCAGTCCATCAGGAGCCTGGGTGTGATCCCGGATGCTTCTCTTAATATGGAGGCCCAGGTCACACATAGAGCCAGGCTGGCATTTTTCCATCTACACCAAGCTTGGCAGTTGGCCCCTTTCTTGTCGCACTCTGACCTGGCCACAGTAATCCATGCGACCGTCACCTCCAGGCTAGACTACTGTAAATCACTGTATGCTGGCCTGCCCTTGAGACTAGCCCAGAAGCTCCAGCAGATCCAGAATGCAATGGCATGTGTCCTAACAGGAACATTGTGGACTGCACATATTCAACCTGTGCCGTGCCAGCTGCACTGGCTTCCTGCGGAGCACCGAGTCAAGTTCAAGGTTTTGGTTCTGACCTTTAAGGCCTTGAGTGGTCTGGGACCAATGTATCTGCGGGACTGCCTCCTCCATTACACCCCTGGGAGAGCATTACGCTCCTCACAGAACAACTTGCTGGTGATCCCCAGCCCCAGAGATATCCAGCTGTCCTCAACCAGGACCTTCTCGGCCCTAGCCCCGACCTGGTGGAACTCTCTGCCAAATAACACCAGGGCCTTGCGGGGTCTTATGCAATTCCACATGACCTGTAAGGCAGAGATGTTCTGCCAGGCATTTGGTTGAGGACAGTGGAAGTTTACATCATGGATGGCACCCTACCTGGACCCCCCATCCCTTGTGGGGTTTTCTCCCTCCCCCATGCTCAAAAAGTACCCACAGACCAAGTGGGGACCACAAAAATATTGCTACTTGCTTTTAACTATTGTATAATATGTTGGATATGGTTTTATGGTTTTTACGGTTTTAAATCTGTACATCGCCTAGGCAGTGGTGGGCAAACTCATTAGTCAAGAGAGCCAAAAATCAACAGTACAACGATTGAAATTTATTTTGAGAGCCAAATTTTTTAAACTTAAACTATATAGGTAGGTACATTGTTATTAACTTAGAGTACTTCTAAACTGGCCTTTGTTAAAAATGTCCTCAATCTGATTGAGGTACGTTCGCGGAGGTCGACCCCTTCCAATTCTCCCATCCACACTCGTCTTGTATACTTGTTTTGTCTCCTTTCGTTCATTCTCTCTATATGTCCAAAGTATCCATAAAATTAAATCACGACAATGACTGACAAACATTAATGTGAACAATGGCCTTGCATCTCCTTGGAAAGTTTGGATAAGTCAGGTTTGTATGTTGTTGTTTTTAATTTTAGGCACGATTCCAGGTTCTCATCAATAAGACGATTTCTCAATTTACTCTCGATAAGGTTCATGCTTGAAAATGTTTGTTCACATAAATATGTAGACCCGAATAAGGAAAGAACAGCAAACGCTAGTTTTTTCAGTTGATTATATGAGTCAGGAATACTATTCCAGGTGTTAAAAATCAACATATCTTCCTTCTCCAGGTCTTTCAAAGCAGACCAGTTGTGCTGTGAACTAAGTTCACATTTGTTTTTCTCCAATATTTCTAGATCAGCACAAAGACGTTCAAATTTCGAGCTCCACATTTCTTTGTTTTTTAAATCCAGCAATTGCATTTCAAAGTTGTCAATGTCAATATTAAAGGGAGAAAAATTTAATTCTGTT